GCCTCTCCGAGACGAGGATGCCATATTATAATAGGGTGGCCATTTAATAGGTGGCTGCGTAATAGGGGTTCAACTGGATTGCAGTTTAACTGTAAACTGTTTCATTCAATTGATTTTACTGTGGAGCAAGAATTTACTTAAACTGGGAAATAAAACGGCACTAACCTCTTGAGAGACACTTTATGAGGAAGGGAAATTTTAATTTCAAATTGTCATTTCATTTGTTTCCCCCAAAATGCTTGAAACGTGTTACTTTAAAGATGTCGATTTTGAGACACCCAAACTTCACTGTGATGCTTAATTAATGCAGAGTACATTTTCTCCTAACTATGTACACTACCAATATAATTAAATATCGAAATTATGAATATAGGCATTTTGAAAATTGCAGTTATGTATGTCAGAAGGTAGTTAAAGACAATGCTAAATGATTATTAGCCAACTTAATAAAAAAATTATATAAGAATTAATAGTCTTGGAAGATTTTTACAAAATTTAATGCATTTATAGAAAAAAATTTGTAATAAATTACAAAAGGGAATTAAGGAGAAAAACAGACTGTGGAATGACTTATTTTAAATAAATTTATTTTAAATACACATTGAAAGATCTGTTTCACTTTGGCCTTCCTCAGAAGGCCAGTATCTGCAGTGACAGTAGAAATGGTCCCGTACTTTATGGGAAAACTGAATGGGAAAATGTATAGAAACTTGTAAGAAAATATAAGGTTTGGGAGTACTTCACTTGTGGGAATTACATGTAAGAACCCAGAGTGTGTGTGGGGGGGTACTCAAATTTAGAAAGGAGCGGGGTGCTCATGGGAAAAGAGCCCATAAGGGGAACCAAGGTCCTGTTTTGTGGGCGTGGCTTGAAAATTTTTTCACCCCTGGGAGGTACCAGTTCTAAAACAAAACATTATCTCCCGTCTTTAACCCCTAAAAGGTAGGACAAGCACCCGCGTCCTTTTTAAATGTGAGTAATGCTATGGGAGTTCATCACCCGAGTGCGCTTGGGCTTGGGTACTAGTCTGTTTTCTTACCCAGTGCCTTCGCATCCTATAAAAGCACCAAAATGGCGGCCGAAAGTGAGGACTCGAGGAAATTAAAACTGCTGGTATTTGGAGGCACAGGCGGAACAGGCAAGGAAGTAGTAACACAAGCTCTACAGCGAGGTCACCTTGTTACAGCGGTGGTGAGAACACCTGAGAAAGTCGATAAACGGTATGTTGAGTCTGGCAATCACCTGGTCATTGAGGATCGGCAACTTGACCAATGCAGGCTTTTAATTCTAATAAATTGCAATAATTTTTAGTTAGTTCGTTTGAGAAACTAGTCGGAAGAAATGGAACATTACTGTAAACCTAAGCTTGGCCTGCGTAGCAGGCGTGAAACGGGGGAGGGGGAGGCAAAGCGGCTAAAATATAAACAAAGGAATAAAGATAAATTTATGAGACCTTTATTTCCCTTTAGTCATCCTAATTTAGATTTGGTCAAAGGTGATGCTTGTGATGTGGAGAGTTTCATTGCTGCTCTGAAAGGAAAGGATGCTGTAATTTCATGTTTAGGAGTTGTTGCAAGTATTTTTAATCCAACAACTTTCTACTCAGAGTCCATGTTTGCAATACTGGAGGGAATGAAAAGGTATATACATGTATAGCATGAGGTTAAGTCTGCTGTCCACACTGACGAAATTTATACCAATTTCTGTAACATCAGTGAAGTGACTTATAGAGTGTTTCTACTCCCCCTGGATAAGATGCTTGTGCATTGTAAGGCTACCCCTCCTTGCCCCCCTCCCCCTCCTTGCCCCCCTCTCCCTTCCCCTCCCCCTCCTCCCCAATTTTTAGCACTGATGTTACACCAGACAACTTTTAATGCAACTTTGTGGCGGCAACCATCAGCAATGGTATTTTACACTAGATGATTTTTAATGCAACATGCAAAATTCAGGCAACAATATTGCAGGTTTTTGATTGGCTTTCCAAAACTTGCAACATGTTGCAGTGCTGCAACTAGATGTTGTGGTAAAAGTCCCCTGTGTGCTATGTCACATGACATCGACTTTTAATGTAACATTGTTGGATTAAAAATTGGTGTTAAAAATCAGCTTGTTTATCATTATCATAATGCAATGACTCCAGCCAGGCCTCAAACCCAGACTGCTCGATCCAGAGTCTAGCCACCATGCATTTTCTTTTGGTTTTCATTATTAGTTATATAGGGGTTCTAGGGAATGGATTACCAATTTTTTTATGGGGATGGTTAGGTGGTGGGTTTACTTAGTAGGGGACCTGTTGTTCTTTTGTATGCCCACCTGCCTGATGGAGAATCTTTAAAATAAAATAAAAAATAAAATAAATTTGTCCAGACAGTCAAAAGATGTGTTAATTATTTGACCTCATCCTTCATATTTTCTATTATCCCGACCCTTGACTATCTTGACTACATGTAGTTTCATTAGCCTGTTGTCCTGTGAATAATCACAGTTTGTCCATTGCCAGGACTGAACATTAACTCATCAATAAAATCAACTAATTGTCAGGTGTGGTGTCAAAAGACTCGTAACCATGACAGCCTGGTGCACCCAACCAGGACCAAACAACTCATGGCTTGTGGATTGGATCATTAACCCACTGTTTCTGAATGGTATGATTAAAGACATGGCCACCATGGAGAAGTTGTTGGAGAGTACAGATCCTCAGACACTGAACTACACTATAGTTAGACCTTGTGGATTAGTTAATGGTAAGTCCCACTGACTTCAACTAATGGCAAGTCCCACTGACTTCAACTAATGGCCTTTAAAGAATATCGTAAACGAAGTTTAATTTTGGTTCCAAACGGTATTTTTGCTAAGAAGCTTAATTTATTACTAGTATTAATTATTTGGAATTGGCTGGCAGAGGGGATGGTAGCAGGGGGAGAAGGGGGGGAGGGATAATAAAGGGATACTGTGCCATGTGGTAAAGCTTTCTAAACGTAAGGAAATGAAACAGAAAACAAGCTCAATATCAGTGGATTGGGAAAAAATGACCTTAAGCAGAAATTGGATTGAAATGTTCCTCTATGTTAAATCCCCGGAGAAAGGTGTTATCATCTGGGGCATTTGCATCTGAGATTTATGGGAGGGATCTTTAAGGGAGGGATCAGTGTTCATGTGGGCAGCTTCGTAAATAAATGTAAGGGATTAGGACTAAGTGAGTCTAAGGTACATGTAGCTAAAGCCCTGCTCGAGCAGTTTCGAAAGTTTGATCCAAAATTTTGCAACTGTTTCCCTGCGTAGTTGGAAGATGTTGGAATATGGTAGACAAAAGTTTAATCCAAGTTGAACTTTTGTGTGAGATATTCCTAAATGCTTTCAGTTATGCTGAGTGGCTTTGATATGTACTTAATTGGGGCCGGAAAACGCTGCATGGAGCCATTTAACTAAGGGACAAATCAATCTTTTTTTACAGGTGAACGCACAGGGAATTATAAAGTCGAAGAAGGACAATGTAACACGGGTACCAAGATTTTGATGGCACGCGCTGACGTAGCAGAATTCATGCTAAAGGTTTTGGAAAGTGACGAGTACGATAGGAAAGGATTTGCAATCGGTGGATTGTAATATAACACGCAAATTGAAAACAAGATATCCATGCCTCCCTGTGAAAGTATGTGCCTGTTGCTTCTAAGACGGCCGCCGGCCTTTCGCCTGTTTTTCAACCATAGATGTATTCCATACAACGTACTTACTCCCCATAGTCGACGCCAACCTGTGCCGACGTCAGAAGTCGTCAGGGTTTATGAAAGGACATGTTCAGTGCCCGAAGAGCGTCTACTTCTTCCAGGGATAGTGTGAGAAGTCGTGAACACACTCGATGGAAGTCGATATGATTTTTAAAACAACTTGTGACGAAATTTGAACGGCAACCTCACTCAATTTACCTAGAAGTCAATTTAGGCAGAAAAACTACGGTCTGAAGCTAGTACCTCAGGCAGAGCAACACTGTCAGAACTTGTACTGAAAAGGCAACGGAATTGTGAAGGCAGTCTGTAAATTGATTTAGTACAGTGAAACTGGTAAAAGCCTAAAGGAATTAATACAATCCTGGAAACTTTTCACGAGTTAAGAGGTAACATCCTAAAGGTCCCTAAAGTCAACAATACATTTACGATTCTGAAAATTCGCAGTGGGTCTTGAAGGACACACCGAAACAGAGAAAAGCTCGTGTACACGTTAAATAAAGTCGTGTCATAAGCAATCACTTCTGGGGTGTGTTAACGCGAGCAGTGTACGACCCTCTTTATTGTCTTTCAAAATGACATGATACGAAATTTTATAAACAATATATATGCAACACGAGAACCACTACGTGGAACTTACTGGGGCCCAGTGGGACACGGGATTGCATAGATATAGTTAACCTCTCGCACCCCTCCCCCCTCCTCTGTGGAGG